CCCTCAGATTTCATCAAAAATATCTTAAATTGTGTTCCGAAGATGAACGAAGGTCTTACGGGTTTCGAACACCACGAGGGTGAGTAATTAATTACAGAATTTTCATTTTTGGGTGAACTAAACCTTTAAACATGAAATTTTGAAGTAGAGAGACTGAAATAGTATGTTCTTGTAACAAAATGCTCTAATAATCTTGTTTTGTTTACTTCAAGCCTAAAAAAAAAATGTGTATTTTGTGTGCAAGGGTATTTTAAGCAAAGCTATTTACACAGTATGATATTTCATGATGCTTTATTACTCATGCAGACTGTAAATAAACTGACTCACAAAAAAAGAAAATCTTTTATCCTCAGGGACGGTTCAGGCTAAGCAAAACCGGAGGTAAATAGCTGCATCTGGAGTCACAGATAAATTTCAGCCTGTCACCACCACGTCATTAGATGACGTCCGCCGGACAGATTGTAGTGTGTGCCACACAAAGCTCCGCGGAGATGTTCTCTTTTATTTGGCACCTTGACATCGCTCGTTGCTAAGCAACACAGAATAAAAGGGCTAAAAGGCCTGTTTGCTTTAGATCCTAGGTGGCCGAACAGCTCAGCCCTGTGCTTGAGGAACGTGTGTGTTGTTTTGTGTGTCATTCGGAGCGTGTGGCGGGGCGTTGGCAGAGAGCTCACCTGTCAGGGCGATGAGCCGTGGAAGGCACAGTCTGTTGGCCAGGGCGATTAGCTCCATTGGGTCCAGGTCTGCCATGGGCGACAGCTGATTGGTGTAGAGATACTCCAGCACTGCCTGCATGCATACCCTGCTGGTGTTGGGGAATGAGACCTGGCAACACACATGTACGTGCGTCATTATTCTACAAACAATCAATTTCTTAAATTCCATCTGGTTCTGTCAGCGTCAGCGTGAAATAGTTTACAATCCATTTCCTTCTGAAATGTGACAATAATTCTGAGGGAAATAGGAAATCGGTGGGATAAAACGTAGAACAAGACTTGATTTTATCCTCTGGGAATTGATTTCGTGGGCATCTGACAGGTTGTTGGAGAGGTTGAAAAATAAGAGGACTTTCGGTTAAGAAGTAGAGCAAGTTATACGTTGCACAAAAAACCTGTTGTAACCTGCAAATGTTACCCCAAAGATTTGTTTTTACTCAGTCTAAACCAATTTGTCAGGTTGATTTAGTCAGACTACTGTACATAAAATTTTGACCTAAATTTGACAAATTTTATGAATAAAACCAGTTGATTTTGACAAAGTTACCGGATGAAACTTATTTTTTTCCCTTGGTAAGTATATAACATAATACACACATTAACGGTCAAAAGTCAAAAGATTTTTTTTTTTTAATCCTCTTCAAGGCTGCATTTATTTGATTAAAATACAGAAAAACACAAAGTAACAATAAAGACATTTATAATGTAGTAAAAGATTTGCATTTCAAATAAATTAATAAAAGAATTCGGAAAAAAATATCATGGTTTCCACATAAGCAGCATTTACGGTTTTCAACATTTATAATAATAAGAACCATTATTAATAATTGAGCACCAAATCAGCATATTAAAATGATTTCTGAATGATCATGTGACCTTGAAGACTGGAGTAATGATGCTGAAAATTCGGCTTTGCATCACAAGAATAAATCAAATTTTAAAATATATTTAAATAGAAAACCATTTTAAATTATAATGATATTTCACAATATAACTGTTTTTCCTGAATTTTCAATCAAATAAATGCAGCCTTGGTGAACTTGGTGACTTCTTTCAAAATCAAAATCATAATTCTGAACTTTTAGTTTTTACCAATGGTGTATATAATAATGTTATTTTATTTCTGAAATTGTTTTAATAAAAAAATTGCACATACAGACCTTTTTTTTCCGGAATAACATGCACAGATGAATGAATACTTAAGTTAAGTAATATGTATTAAAATGTAAATAGGGCCCTTTTTAATTTTATGTTGATTTTCATAGGATTTATACATGATTAAGAAGTGTAAAACTCAAATTATTTTTTTGATAGATTTTAATTCAACCATTAAAAAGTATCGTGTATTTAACAGACTCTGGTCAGCTCTCTATGAAACTGATGGCCGGCTCACCAGCAGTCCAGCATTACTAAGCACATTTGGGCAGAACACACAGATAGATGCTGCTACGTAACTCATTACATAATACTCTTCAAGGGCAAGCACATTAGATTGCTGTGTTTTGCCGGGGTAGTCTAACCACTCCAAAAGAGAGTGTAAGAAAAAGAGGCATGCTCTCACGGATTTCAGCAAGCACTGTGAAGTGTGGACTTAAGTCTGAAAGTAGGACGCGGTCTAAAATATAGCTGTGCCAATTGTTACACTTTCATGAAATGTCAGAGCAGTAAGGCAAAAAAAAAAAAACACTGAGTCCGTTGTGCAAAGATTAGCTGTAGAGGAAAACAGATCACTGTCTCTGAATGACGTCTGCTTTTCCTCCTTAGGGAGGAAACTCGGTCTGCTTTATTCCACCTGTTAAGGAAGAAATTAATGAACAGTGCCACAGATGAAAGCATCTATTTGGACAGTGGAAACAGGATTAATGTGGCAGCAGTGAAATTAGCAAAAAGCATAATGTTTGCTTCAAACAGCAAGAAGTACCTGTATCGATTATGCAACTCAGCTCATTAATTATGGATTATGCATGTAAATGGCTATAAATGGAAAAATATATGAAGCTAACTGTACTATAAGGTTATTATCATTAATAAAAATGATTACAAAGACAAAAACTAGACAAAAAATATATTTTTTAAATATTGTAAAAAACTGTAATACTTAAAAAAACAACATGTAACAATATAAATGTGCACTAAAATATATACAAAAACTCCATAAATCTCAAAATAGGGAAAATTACTTTTGGAAACTAGATCTAATACTGAAACAAAATTTCCAAAGAAAAAAAGAAGTCCTGAATAAACAATTACTACAGCTAAACTGAAATTGAAAATCAATGCAAAACAAAATACAAATGAATGACATTTTCAAAAATGTAATAACCCTGCTATATTGTGAATAAAATGTCTTGTAAGACAAACATCATGTCTCCAAAACGGTCTTGAGAGCTGACGGATCATTCATCACTGCAGAAAAAATGTCACTTAGAGACACAAGGACTAGACTATTTTAGTTATTCAAGAATTTGATGCAATTTGTTGGCAAGCCAGTGTCTGTAAAATGTGTCAGTGCGCATCTATTTGAGTATGTAAGCGCATGTAAATGTCTGTGCGGTGTGACCTTGTACCATCTGCTTGAGAACTGGCAGACTCATTAATGCATAAGACGAAATAAAGTTGTTCTGTAGACTTGTCAGTGCCCTAACTGGAGCTCATCAAACATTGTTTTCACACTCACCTCGTCATTTGCACTCTCCATGAAAGAGCCCCCAAATAAGGCAGCCATCCAGTCACAGCTAGAGATCAGCAGTGGTTTGTGGGCATTAATGGTGCCATCATCCAACCTGAACACCACATCTGCAAAGAGAGTCCAAAACAGCATGAGAAACTGCATTTTACAAAGACATCACTTATTGCATGTTTCAACTAGCATGAGCATATTTCAGATGTGGCAGCAAATCATTTTAAATCATTTTAAGGAGACTGTGCTTCTTTCTCATTCGAAGATAAAATAAACACATCTGGGTTCCTCAATACCTGTGAAGTTATTCTTGGTGAGACACTCTTTGATTCGGTTGGCCTTTCTCACATGGAACGCTTTTGTGATCTCTTGATTCATGAAGCCCTCATTGTTCATGATGTTCTCCACCATCATCCTAAGATCAAACACTTCTAGGATCTCTGCAATCTGGGCGATCTTCATCAGGTCCTTCTCCTTCTCATCCAGCTCACCAGTGTAGAGGAAGCGTAGGACAGTGCTGAACGGTCCATGGTGGATGGAATGATCCATCTTGACAATAGTCATAAGAGCTGGCGCACCCGTGACCGGATTGTTCACGTTCTCCTTGTGGATGCTATGGAAGGCCTTGCTCCAAGAGGCCAGGGACAGCTTGGTGCGCCAGTGCATTCCACTGAAACTCATCATCTTGAGGGTTCCGTCACTCTTGGATGCCCTGAGCGAGCAAGGCGAAAGATTGGGGAGAACCATGATGTCCTCTTCCGTGTCCAGGCTTAGGGTGCGCATCAGTTGATCCCGCCCGTGACGCTCAGTTACCACCAAGCACTGGGACTCATCGGAGAAGTCCATCTGAAAGAGGTCGAAGAATTTGGAGGACGAAGTAGACAGGTAGATCCTGTGGGCAAACAATTGGATGTGTTCTTGGATGACAAACATAACATCAACGCACAGGGGGCTCTCAAGAAGCTGCCTCGGGCCATCCCGGTTTTTGGTTGGGCACTCTGGAATCTTAATAAGTGGTGGAGGGGCTTTGGGTGGCAAAAATGGTGCCTGCAACAGTGGCTTTTGAACCTTCCTCAAGTGGGACTTCCAGAATTGTAGGTGGCGTCTGGAGATGAGGGCAGCTCGGATTGCATTATCAAAGATATCCTTGATGCCAAACTGGTCGAAAACACTTGTCTCATAGTATGGGATGCCAAGCTCTTTGGCGACCTCCCTTCCACTCTCTGGAGGCAAAATATCTCCTGGTTTAATGGGTCTGTGAGAGACAAATAAATACAATCAAATCTTGTGTTAATATAACAGCACACCTAGTAAAAGCATTACCTCTGGGAGATGAATTTTAAAGGAATATCCAAGTTCCAACTTTTTGGGTTTAGAGGGACGGGGGGCTTTAGTTACCAGTACCTTGATAATGGTCGCCTAGCTCGATTGACTGCCTCCAGGTCAGCGTAGCGCAAGTCCAGCTGGCAACCGACCAAGATGACAGGTGTGCGTGGACAGAAGTGCTTGATCTCGAGGTACCACATGGTTTTAACATGGTGTAGGGAGTTGGGATTGGCGATGGAAAAGCAGAGAACCACGACGTCAGACCTTCGAGAGTGAAAGTTGAGAAGTAAATCAAGTAACTGTCCAATGAAAACTCATCTGTTTAACAACACAGGGCAAGACACCATGTAACACGCATGCTAACGGGATTTTAAGCCAAGATTGTCAAATGGTGCCAAGTGGTATTCGTAGCAACATGACAGTCCTTGAGTGTTTGGTGGACATGCAAAACCTGCAATCTCAAAGCCAGCCTGACACTGACCCATTGACAGCACGCAAAAAGATTGCCTTTGATTTACACACGTCTGATGCCAGAGACCACAAACTCCTTCGGCAATGCTTTTTGTTGTTGTTGTTGTTTTTTGGCTGCCTCTGCGAGGACTAGAACAAACATGATCAACAAAACAGATGAAACAAAAGCACAAAGAAGATGACATGCAGACATTCTGGTGCACTGCTGGCATACCATCCTGTTGCAAGATTAGTACAAAGTCTATCCTGGGGAGGGGGGGCAACACCTCTCACCACACAAGTAAGTGAATAATGTACGATCACCCGTTTGCCATGGTCCACAAAAGGAATCGTGCATTTCTTGCTGACTGGGCAAGCAAAGGTCTCAGCTACCACACCACACAGTTGGCAATGCAGAGAATTATGGAGATGCTAGCAGGCTTGAGGACTTACAGTGTCTCTCTTATGTTTCACAGGCTTGCATAAAGATCATAGGAGCCCTAAAAACAAAAAGAGGCACAGAACAAAGCTACATAATAATTTGCCTTTGTAGTCAACAACAGTTCAGGGAAATCTGTCTGAAGAAGAACAACATTAATGCCAGAGTCTATAATGACAATATAAGTCCAATGGGACAGTAAACCAGAGTCTGATATCAAGCAGCTTTTGAAGTTAAAGATATCTGAATGCTTTGATATGGCACTGCATGGTCTCAGTGATTGCTAGGCTAAAGCCTATCCTGTCCTCTATAATGGTTTGCTGAAAACTAAACTAATCTCGGGTCAAAATGGGGCTCTTGGCAGATCACCCTAGCGCTCTAGAGAAAAGCCTGTTTGATGTTAAGCCAGAATCAATGCACTTCTGGTAAAACATGTAGCATTTATTTGGGCTAAATAATCTTTTGGAGAGCCGGTGTGGTTGCAATTGCCCTCTCAATAACTCGACAATACCTCCCCCAACCTGAATAAATGAGAGCAAATCAGCATATAAGCAGCAATTATCTTTAATAACCTTACATCAATCCAGGGAGTACAACACTCAACACGTCATTAATTAGCAATCAAATAAAACACATTATCAGAAGGAGTCATTTGTAAAATTGCTACATCCATGCAAAATCTTGGTCTCCTTTAGGTAAACTCACATAGACTCACATAGACTTTTTGCGGTAAAGGTTGTATTTTCCCACCGTCAGCAATGTCAGCTAATTTATATATATTATGTTATTGATACAACGATATTAAATACTCCAACCTGCCCACCCCTACTCTTAACCCTACTCTTCTATTTGGTAAGTACAGGTTCAGAGAGGCGCAGAACCTTGGAATCTCGTTCCTGTAAAATTATAGGTTACTCCTAAGGACAACAGAGTATGCCAGTCACACATCGAAGCCCTGAGTAAGATGCCTAGCGAACATCTAGGGGTCATGATTTGAGTACGAGCCAAGCTTTATGACTCCAGACCTCAGTGCCCTGGTTTAATTTTTAGAATGCAATAAAGCAGGGAGGACGAAAAATATAATTCTATTGAACATGACTGGCCCAAAATCAGGGAGCAAGGCATGCTCTCCAGACAACAAGTCAAGTGTATCTGATTGAAATAGTCTAGTGTATCTGGATTGGGATTGGTCTAGCGCTAAATCACAAAATATTCTCTCTCTGGTAGGGTCTTTAGGTTCCCCTTCAGACTGTCAGAGGGAAGAATTAGGTCATACTTATGCTGCTGAACTCCATCTGTTAAACAACTCCAAAAGGACATAAGAACTGAACACTGCAAGAACATCATTTCTTCTAACAGGGATTCTTTGAGTGTCTCATTCCCCTCCCTAGCTGGTGTGAATCACGAACATAAATTTGGGTGCTAACAATCCATTAAGCACTGGAACACTGATGACTAAATGACCTTTGACATGATAAGGTCACTCAATAAAATATAACCGGTAGCAAAAACATTGCTGTATAACAAGCCGTGAGCAATATTCTTCTGGTATTATTTCTGGCCACGTTAAGTAAATATAATCATCAGCTCATGCTCTTTTTTATGGTGCATTCTGGGAATTTTAAGGGAGCAAACATTTCAGTGCATTTTCATTCACTGGACAGTGCACTACTAGTGAAGTATGGAGTGGATTGAGACAGCCTAGGTTTTTAATATTATAAATCAAGATGTTTCTACCATCTATTTCTAAAAATTATGAACAATTACTTAAAATAAATAAGTAAATTGGGTTTGACATATTATGCATGACTGATAACACCAAGCAAACTCTATCTGTAAAACTGGCCAGTAATTGTTTTATTAACAGATAAACAAAATGACCCTGAATGAAGTAGCAACAATATGAACATGAATGCTGCATGCTATGCATTCTAAAATTCTGGTAAATAAATACATCTGTGAACATAACATAATTGATGTTATGTTACCGCCACTACAAACTCATACCAAAATGAGAATGTTTTGTTTATCCTGCACTGAAAATGCCAGAAAAGAAAGCATAAAAGCAGTGAGCGTGTGATAAACGCAAAGAAAGACCTCATTAAACAAGTGCTTGACACAAAATGGCCATGAGTTAACATAACAGTGTTCAGCTGTCATGTTCGGCACGCATTCAGTTGCAAATAGCTCAGTGTCTGATGTCAGAGCAAATGATGAAAGCATCTGATGGCAGGATGCTTCCTGTCTTTCTGTTCAGTAAAGTGGTGGCACTTGTGAATCGAAGAAGCAATTAAGATTTTCTCTGGTAATTTGTTGAGATATTATCCAGAGAGCACTGTGAAATTTTCTCATGCATACCCTCATATTTATGTTATTTTCAAATTCGTAGTTTAATCTGAGTCACATTGATTGCCATAATAACTAAATGAATATAATGTGAAAATGAATTAAAGGCATAGTTCAGTAATTCTGACTCACATTTTCTTTCAAACTTTTATGACTATATACAGTTCACTCAATAAAATATAACCGGTAGCAAAAACATTGCTGTATAACAAGCCGTGAGCAATATTCTTCTGGTATTATTTCTGGCCACGTTAAGTAAATATAATCATCAGCTCATGCTCTTTTTTATGGTGCATTCTGGGAATTTTTAGGGAGTAAACGTTTCAGTGCACTTTAATGAATTTAATTCACTAGACAGTGCACTACTAGTGAAGTAGGGAGTGGATTAAGACAGCCTAGGTTTTTAACATTATAAATCAAGATGTTTCTACCATCAATTCCTAAAAATAAAAAAGTGAATTGGGTTTGACATATTATGCATGACTGATAACACCAAGCAAACTCTATCTGTAAAACTGGCCAGTAATTGTTTTATTAACAGATAAACAAAATGACCCTGAATGAAGTAGCAACAATATGAACATGAATGCTGCATGCTATGCATTCTAAAATTCTGGTAAATAAATACATCTGTGAACATAACATAATTGATGTTATGTTACCGCCACTACAAACTCATACCAAAATGAGAATGTTTTGTTTATCCTGCACTGAAAATGCCAGAAAAGAAAGCATAAAAGCAGTGAGCGTGTGATAAACGCAAAGAAAGACCTCATTAAACAAGTGCTTGACACAAAATGGCCATGAGTTAACATAACAGTGTTCAGCTGTCATGTTCGGCACGCATTCAGTTGCAAATAGCTCAGTGTCTGATGTCAGAGCAAATGATGAAAGCATCTGATGGCAGGATGCTTCCTGTCTTTCTGTTCAGTAAAGTGGTGGCACTTGTGAATCGAAGAAGCAATTAAGATTTTCTCTGGTAATTTGTTGAGATATTATCCAGAGAGCACTGTGAAATTTTCTCATGCATACCCTCATATTTATGTTATTTTCAAATTCGTAGTTTAATCTGAGTCACATTGATTGCCATAATAACTAAATGAATATAATGTGAAAATGAATTAAAGGCATAGTTCAGTAATTCTGACTCACATTTTCTTTCAAACTTTTATGACTATATACAGCTAGGGTTGCAAATGGGTGGAAAATTTCCGGAAACTTTCCAAAAATCACGGGAATATTCAAAAAAATCCTGGAAAGTTTCCTACATTTCTGGAATGTTTCCAAAATTTACTGGAAATTTTCCACCTTTTTGCAACCCTATTACATTATATATCTATTTTTTGAGGAACACAAAAGAAGATGCTTTGAATAATGTTCACACTCCTCTCTTCCATATAATGAAAGTGAATGGTGACCAACAGAAGTATCACAAAAGTCAATACAATGTGACGCAAGTCTTCTGAAGGCATACAATAGCTTTGAAAATGCACATATTTAAATTAGTCATGATTGGTCATGTGATACACAAGAAGGGTCTGTGTACTTTGTGTTCAATAGTTTTTTTGCTTTTGTTTTTGTTTTTTTATTGAAAGCAGAACAATTTGAAAATGCTATGTTTTCGTTTCTCAATTTTTCCAAAAAAAAAAAAAAGAATTCAGCTTTAAAATGGATAAAAAGCTTGAATATTCAATGCATTATTATTGAATATTTGGTGACAGTTATCCTGTTGCACAGAACTGAAGAAGGACGGATGATGGCACTGATGAAGTTGATCTTTGGTTGACCAATCAGCGAAAAGGGCCATTTTATGCCCGCCCAGATGTTGATATTGAATTGAAATTAAATATTCAAGCTATTTATTCATTTCCTGCCCTTGAATGTAAAAATTAAAAATCAAGTTTCATCAATCAATCATCTTCTTTTTTATTTTTTTAAACAAAAAGGACATTTTCTCATTGTTCTGTTTTCAGTATTAAATAAAAAACAAATAAATGCAATGTACATGGAACATACAAGGACATAAACTGACCAAGAAGCATTAAGTTTAAAAAATATTTATTTGAATATTCATTTTCTGAGTGACTTAATTGTATTGTATGGCTTTATAAGACTTAAGTTGCATTTTGTCCTTTTTAGCTTAGTCACCTTTGGTCACCATTTACTTCCATTATATGGAGAAGAGCAGCATGAACATTCTACTACACTTTTCTTTTCGAGTTCCCTGGAAGAAAGTCCTATGGGTTTGGAATGGCAAGAGGGTGAATTAATAATAACATTTTCATTTTGGGGGGAACTATGCTTTTAAGCTTGCCCCACTATTACACAGAAAGTGCAACTCAAACATAATTTATTTGTACCTCCCGTAGGCGAAGCGTCTGTCTTTGTGATGGTCTCCAAAGGTGTCCCATAGCCGGAGGGACACACTTACGTCATCCACAACGTCTCTGGAACGTTCTAAGACCTGTGAGGAGTCATAGCATTAATTCGGCTTTTAAAGTAGCACCCCTGCCCCAGAGCAAAGAACACCACGGGTGTATTTGATCTTTTTCTTTCATCTGATTTCCTTCCGCCGGCTGAAACTTAAATGAATCCTGACGGAAACAAATCTGGGTATCATGCTCTCATTATTTCCAGCCATAGGCCTGACGTAATGCCATGATAACGGCAAGATAAATTAAATTGAGAAAAGATTTACCTCTTGACAGACTCTGTACTGGTCGATGGCCCAGACGGTGGGTACATGGGTGGCCAACAGTTGGTACTGGGTCAGGGTAGTGTTGCAGGCCCGGGCACAAATAAGGCGAGTCTTCCCCACGGCATTGTCTCCAACAACAACACACTTGATGGTCTCTACATTGGGTCTTTCGTAGTCCATATTCAACTTGAGTACCCTATGACAAGAGGAATTATTGTACAAGAATTCATAACGCCGCACATACATACTGACCAAAGGGGGGAGTTAATTTCAGATCTATTAAATCAGAAGCTGCACAGAGCGCTGACCTTGCCGTGGGTCAATGAAACCTCCATATAATACAGGACTTCTTATTTTCACATTCCTAAAATAGTTGCCCTATATTATAGC